TGAGGAGAAGACGGCGTATGTCACCTTTCGCCTGAAGCAGTTCAAGACAGAGGCGAGCGTGCGTGTTGAAGACGCACAGCATGCGTCTTTCCTGCCAGAGGGCCTGTTTACGGTGGTGTTAGCGCATGTGATGACGCATGCACAGCACGGCGCATCGCAGCAGCCCAAGCTGAGTCGCACCCACGCCATCTGCTTCATGGAGTCGACCAAGCTTGAGTTGCAGCTTGTGCCCGCCCGCGCCAACTCCGGCCACGGTGACAACGATGCGAGCCAGAGCAAAGGCAACAGTCCAGAGCACCAGCAGCACCAGCAGTACCTGGTTCCAGCCATCCTGCCGATGACGATCCGCCACAGCAGCAGCACGATGGAATCTGTCACTCTGAGCACGACGGCAGCACAGCAGGTCAACCCATATCTTGGGTTTGAGGAGAAGACGGCGTATGTCACCTTTCGCCTGAAGCAGTTCAAGACAGAGGCGAGCGTGCGTGTTGAAGACGCACAGCATGCGTCTTTCCTGCCAGAGGGCCTGTTTACGGTGGTGTTAGCGCATGTGATGACGCATGCACAGCACGGCGCATCACAGCAGCCCAAGCTGAGCCGCACCCACGCCGTCTGCTTCATGGAGTCGACCAAACTGGAGTTGCAGCTTGTGCCGGCTGTTGGCGGCATCAAGATGAAGATCAGGAGTGCACAGCCACGCGCCATGCTACACATGCTGCACACCATGATCAGCGAGGCTGCCAGAGAGCGCTATCCTGAGCTGAAGAGCAGCCTCCTGCTGCCGTATGACGACAAGACGCTGCTGTTCTTTGAGGATGTGCTGCACCACCACAAGAGCAAGCAGGACATGTGGGTAGACGAACAGCTGCTGCCGCCCGATGACCTTGTCGCCAAGTATGGCCGTCTCTTGCCCGTTCTCGGCCTGCAGGACAAGTATGACGTCTTCATCAGCTACCGGTGAGACTTGTGTGTGTGTGTGTGTGCATGCGTGTGTGAGTATGTGTGTGTGTGTGTGTGTTTGTGTGTGTGTGTGTGTACGCGCGTATGTGCATGCGTGCGTGCGTGCGTGCGTGCGTGCGTGTATGTGTGTGTGTGCAAGTATGTGTCTGTCACTTCCACCAACTCGCCACAACTAATGCATGCAGTTTACCGTTATCTCATCACGACCTTTTCAACCCCCCCCCCTCCCGCAACCACAACAGGCAACGCGCCAGCAGTGGGCTGGTGATGGCGCTGCACCCGCGCTTGGAGCAGCGCAACCTGGTTGCGTTCCTGGACGCCAACAACCTGGAGACGGGCCTCAACTTCAAGCTGTCGTTCATGACGGCGATTGGGCTGAGCCTGGTGGCCTGCCCCATTGTTTCTGCTGCCACCATCATGCAGATGAGGCAGCTGCAGCACAGCGACTACTGCGACAACGTGCTGCTGGAGTGGATGACGATGCTGGCGCTGCACGAGCACCAGCGCAAGCACGGAGGGAGAGGTGAGGGGGAGGCCACAGACCTGATCCGCCTTCGCCGCGTTGTGCCCGTGATTGTTGGCAGCGCGTGGCACAATGTGAACGACAGCAGTATGAGCAGGGCCGAGATGAGCGAGTACGATTCGTTTGATGCCATGAAGCGGCTGGCCATGACGCTGCCAGATGCTGTGAGCAAGCAAACAGCAGCAGCCCTCGATCAGTATTTCACACAGGTGCTGCACCTGCCGCCACCCCGCCCACACAAGAGCGTGCGCGAAGCAGTGTGGTCGCTGTTTGACATTGACGCCGTGACTGCATTGGATGCCGGTGTGGACCGCACGTCACAGTTGCGCGACATTGCGGAGAAAGTGCGCCGGGTCGTCGTCTCTGCCAGGAGCGAGGAGCAAACTGGACGGGGGCCAGCAACTGCTCGTCGATCCACTCAGGTACATTGTGTGCAAGTGTGTGTGTGTGTGTTGGTGTGTGTGTAGGTCTGTGTGCATGTGTTGTGCTTGTGTGTGTGTGTGTGTGTGTACATTAAAATCATCTTGGTGCGCCTTGCCACATTGCGCCTCACACTGGATCTTCGTCAATTGTTCTTGCTTGCAGTTCTCCCAGCCGATCCAGCCGTCTGAACCAGCCGCACCACAGCCACCACAAGCGCCCCAGTCACCCTCACCTCAGGTGTGTGTGTGTGTGTGTGTGTGTGTGTGTGTGTGTTGTGTGCCCATGTGATGGAGTGCCTTGTGCAACGTTATAGGCTTGTGCTTACACCCTTGCTCCTCTGTCCTCTTGCACGCAAACACACACGCGCACAACAAGCAGGAAGCTGGCATCGTGTTTGATGCGGAGTTTGAGGAGTGGCTGTCGACCAACAAGCTGCTGCCACACGTGCAAGGCGCACTGCACCAAGTTGGGGCCGCAGACTTTGATATGCTGACCGTGCTTGTGGACACGGGCGTGGTTGGTGCCGACAAGCTACAGGAAATGGGTGTTCGTGCTGGCCCTGCACACCTGTTCATGCAGCGCTTTGACGAGCATCGTGCAGCAGCCGATGTCCAGAACAAGGAGGGCGGTGGCTGCTGTGCCCTCATGTGACTGCACCGTCGCTTCTGTTGAACTCGTGAACTTTCCGTTACAACTTCACATTATGTTACTTTCCGCTGCCGTCCGTTTGCTTTTTCGTACTTTCTGCCTTTCATGTCTGCTTTCATCGTTTGTCTTTGGCGCCCCCACGTCTACAATGGCACGTTGACTTGCCCAACTGGTGTGCAGCGCCGCGTTTCTTTGCGTTCGTGAAGGTTGGATGCCCTCTCCTTGTGTTGTCTTTGCTGCCACATGTGAGAATGCCACATTCCTGTTGCTTCTTTCCAAACAGTGCATGTATGTTACGTTCCACACCCGAGCCTGTGTTTTGTTGCTTTTCGTCTGGCCGTTCACTCCGGTGCTGCTTGCTCTTCTGTGCATGGGTGTGTGCTGTGTGTGTGTGTGTGTGTGTGTGTGTGTGTGTGTGTGTGTGTGTGTGTGTGTGTGTGTGTGTGTGAGCATGTGTCACTCGCTTACGCTGCTCCACCAGCAAGTGCGTGTCACGCCTTTCCCCCTCTCTTCGTTCACGTTGCGCTGGTTGGTGCGCCTCCACCTTTCTGCTTCTGCGCCTGCCTGGCGAGTGTTATTTCGTCGCTTTCGTCACTTTCGTCGCTTTCGTCGCTTTCGTCGCGTTCGTTTCCCCGTTACCGCCGTGGCACCGCAGCGTCGCAGTAGATATGTACTCCACAGGCAACAAGCAGTCAAGCATGAACGCGTGGGGCCTGTGTGGTGTGGCGTCAGCAAGCGAGCTCGAGATTGCGTGCCTGCATGCATGCAATGCATGCTTTATGAGACTTGAATGGTTTATGACTTCACAAACGAGCAAAACAACAGCACATGGCTACGCAGAGAACAGCTGTGCTGCAGTTGGGAACATGCCTGCATGCGACCAGTGTTGCTGCTCCTTCAGCGCGAGTGGCAGTGTGTGACAATAGACACACACACACTCTCTCTCTCTCTCACACACACTCACACACACACACAATTGCCTGGATGGAGAGAGAAAAAAAAAAAAAAACAAGTGCGACAACGGCAGGACATTCGACAGATCCCCAGCTGCAATGTGCTGGGGTTGCGCTTACGCATTGGCAGATTCGAACCTGCGCGTGCAGAGCACAACGGATTAGCAGTCCGTCGCAGCTTAGACACGAGACAGTGAAGGAGTGTGTGGGGAGTAGCCTGGATGGAGAGAAAAAAACAAGTGCGACAACGGCAGGACATTCGACAGATCCCCAGCTGCAATGTGCTGGGGTTGTGCTTGAATTGGCAGATTCGAACCTGCGCGTGCAGAGCACAACGGATTAGCAGTCCGTCACCTTAACCACTCGGCCACGTTGTCATATGGCACTTCTTGTTGTTTTGGGGCGAATTTTTTGTTGTTGAACCTAAATCTGTATTCTTGGCTGAATGTTGTTTGCTGCAACAGCCACATCGCATTCATCCATCCAACCAACCAACCAACCATCCATCCAACTCAAGCAAGCAAGCAAGCAAGCATGCCTCCACCACCACCACCACCAGCACCACCACCACCATCGACGCCCCAGCTGTTGCTGGACTTGCTTGATGTCAACAAGACAACGGCAGGAAGGGACAAGATCTACCGCGTCGCTCAGTACCTCTGCAGGTCTGTGACGTATGTGTGATATATGTGTGACATGTGGGTGTGTGTGCGTGCATGCACCGGCATCTCGCGTATGTCTTTCTCTCGCTCGATCTCATCCCCGATCTCTCCTTCCGCCTCCTTTTGTTCTGTGCGATCACAACAGGTTCTATGGATGGGGAAGCTTGCAGCCATCACATCCCATCAAAGCACTGGAAACACACCTCGCGCTCGCCCGCAAACGTCAGCTGCCCAAACCCAATGTCGTGCTTGATCTGCTATTGGCGCTGTGCTCGACCTTCACTGTACCCCGCTCATGTGATGATGCGGAAGCACCTCCGCGAGCGTATGACCACTCCTTCTTATACACTGTCTGTGTGTTGTGTTCACACTCATTACTTCCTCCTTCCTCTCACACTCCCACCCACACACACACCCACACACACACACACACACACACACACACACACACACACACACACACACACACACACACACACACACACACACACACATACTCACACGCGCACTCACAAACATACACACACACACACACATGCCATGGAACAGTGATGCGGCTCATGACAAGCATCGATCACTACTTGGACGCGAGGAAAGCAGGCGGTAGCCTTCATTTGTTGCTCGATGTAAGCACCATCGCAACCATGAACCTGGACCAGCTGCTCTCCATCCTCACACACTCGGGCAAAGGCCTGCGCATGCTGTTCGACCACGTGCAGTGGATGTGTGCCTTGCGCCTCCTCGGGCGCTCTCGCAGCCACAGCTTACAGCAGCCCGTCGCCAAGATTGCAAACTTCTTCTGGCTTGCTGCCCTCGTCGTCTCCCTCTGCC